ACCTCTGTGTGTCTTTTTCTCCACTAGCAACTGTATGTGCCTCTCTTCTCCCCCATTCGGTCTATATGTCTCTTTGTTTCCCCACAACCCTATGTATATCTAATACTCCTCCTACAACCACTCTGTGTGTGTGATGACACCTCAGCCCTTCTTTGCACCTCTTTGCCCCCCTCAGCTCATTATGTGCCTCTTACCCCTCTCAACCTCTGTGTGTCTCTCCCATATGTGTCTTTCCCCCCCAGCCTTCTATGTGCCTCTTTGTCCTCCAGCCTTTCCCTTGTCCCCTCCAACCCTCTATATGTTTCTTTAACCCCAGCCCCTCTGTGTTTCTCATTCTCTCCCCAAGTCCTTCTGTGTGCCTGATTGGTCCTCCATCATAGTCCCTTTCTGGTTTCTCCACTCCTGTCCCTTTGTGGTCTCCCCCTCCTTGCCAGCTCACCTTCCTCTTTGTACTGTCGCTGAGCTGTGTATCATGGTGGAGGATCTTCTGTTTCCTCTCCCCGGTCTGAAAAGTAGCTGCTCTGTGCTCACAGTGAGCATAAAACGTTGGCCATGGCTCATTAAAGGATCTCCACTGCCGGCCCATGCAGAGCCATCCTTGCTGTAAGCCCTCTCAAAGATCTCCCTCATCGTCCGGCTGGCACTTGGTTCCAGCAGAGGGAGGGAAGGGCATGAGAGGCTCTGTTTTCCTCCTGCGAGCAGACTGGTTGAAGAGCTGTTGTGCGTTACCATGGCAACGCTCCGATACAATGCTGTGCTCGCAGGAGGACAGAAGAGTCAGCCTGCAGCCATAGTAGCTGCAGGCTAAAGTGAACATGCCGCCACTGGGCCACCAGGGTCTGCAGCATTATGTCTACCCCCTCTGGTAAAATGTAAGAAGAAAGGAGGGGCAGACATTAAGATAGTCCCCTCACTCACACAGACTAGCCCCCACACTCACACAAACTGCCCCCCTCACTCACACAGACTAGCCCCATCACTCACACAGACTGCCCTCCCCACTCACACACAATACGCCTCACACACACACACACACACTGCCCCCTCACACACACACTGCTTCTTCACACACTCCATCCTTCACACACACTGCACCCTTCACACATACTCAGCACCTCTCACACACACCCATACGCACACACACTGCCCCTTCACACACAAACACACATACACACACCACACCCCTCCCACAAACTGCACCTCAGACAGACACAATGCACCCTACACACACACACTGAACTCCTCACCCACACACCGCACCCCTCACCCACACAGTGCACCTCTCACTCACACACACTGCCCCCTCTCACACACACACTACACCCTTCACACACAAACACATACACAACACCCTTCACACACACACACACACAGCACCTCACAAAAAAAAAAGGAATAGAAAAGTAGAATAGATAAATTTAAGTACATATTTTTTTCTTTCTAAAAATTAGTTACTGCAGCACTGGTGGGCGGTAAGGAAATTTTACCATCAACAAAGATACAAAAGTGGGCGGTAGGTATTAAAAGGTTGACTATCCCCTGCACTAAATTGTGTGTAACGAGCAGACAAAACAGACTTGCCCAGCAACCATCCACATCGAGCAAGTGCCCTGTTACTCCCCCCCTCTCCGACCATGGACTGACAGGGATGATCATGGTCAATCCCAGGGAGGCTACCCTGACTCATAGGGAAAGCAAGGCAAAGCCAGGCAAACAACACAGTGACGCACCCATCAAAGCGAACATCATGTGTCCCTTCCCCCTCCATGGTACAGAACCTGATGTTATTACCTAGTTAGACGCTATCTTTGCAGATTTCTGCTGAAAGCTGGAAAACAGAATACCTCAACTTGCCTCACAATGCTCAAGCAGCAGTTCTGTTTAGTTATAGAACAGAAGAAAGGGATCAGCGCTCTCTGTCTATACAAGATGTAACAGAAACAATAATAAATAAGTAAAAAGTGGCAGCACACCTAAAAAGTAGGGCTCCCTCACAGGCCTTACAACAGAAATGGTACAGAAAAAAGAAAGGAAGGCAGAGCCACTACAAACCACATAAATTAAAAGAGCATAGAATAGGCAGACTAGAATGCAATATATAATAGATAATAAGCAAATAGAAGTCCAGAATAAATAGTCTGACTGGTAGATGAATCAAACAACGAGGTATATCTTTGTAGAGGTGAATACAGTCTTTTGTAGTGGGGGATTCTTCAGAGTGGTGTAGATGCATCTTTGCACATCATATGAAATGAGAGAATAACAACTGATGGTATAGTATGTCCCGAAGGGGGTAGAAGCAACAAAAAAGTATATGGTCCTACTCACGTTTTCAAGAGCTATGGACTTAGCTCTAGTGTTGATAACGTACAGTGGTATAATCCCCACTTATGGGATACGTGAGGTCTTAGTATTCTTTCTTGATTAGGGAACCATATGTGGAAATAAAAGCGGGAACAGCAATGGTGCTCAAAGTATAAAATGCCAGAGGTGAGAAGATAAAAAACCAAGTGGTTACTTACATTTAGTTGAACAGACTAACTGTTCAATGAATACAGCTTGAGTGGTATAGATTTTTTAGCAGCAGAATTGAGAATCAATCTATTAACCAGGGACAGACCAACTATTCCCCCACACCACCATGAATTAATGACGAGATACCAGTGAAAAACACCACCCTTAAGAATAACTCTAATTTTTACCCTTCAAGTTTCAAATCTGGCCCGATAGAAGTTTTTGAGAATTTGGTAAAGCAAGACTTAGAAAAAATTAATACCTCCAAAAAAACCAACCACAAATATCATAAATATAACCAATATAATATAACCTTTCAAGAAAGAAAAGCTCTCACAGATCTTAAAAAAGATGACACAATAGTCATCAAACCAGCCGATAAAGGGCTTAATGACCCCAAAGTATATGACAAGCTACTATCCGACCCAACCCATACCATCCAAAACTCCCTTATATCATTTTTAACCAAAGGCTTAAATTTCAATATCCTCAACAAAAAAGAATTTGCTTATTTAAATATACCTCATCCAAAAATTCCAGTTATATACTTTTTACCAAAAATACACAAGAATGAGACCAATCCACCAGGTTGACCTATTGTCTCCGGGATCAATTCTGTTTTATCAAACTTATCAGAGTATATTGACATTTTATTACAACCATCAGTCAGACTTATGAGGTCATACTTAAAAGATTCCATGTCTCTCTTACGTTTTTAAGAAAATTTTACCTGGCATCCAGATTTTATTCTAGTCACTTGTGATGTCCAGTCTTTGTACACCATAATCCCCCACGAATTAGGGTGTGAAGCAGTTTTAAATAGATTAAAAAGGGATAATAAAATTCCAGAAAAACAAATTCATTTTATCTTAGAAGGGATAAAAATTATTTTAACAAATAACTATTTTTGGTTTTTAGACATTTTTTACATTCAAAGACAAGGCACAGCTATGGGTACTAGGTTTGCACCAAGCTATGCCAATCTTTTTATGGACAATTGGGAGTCTAAAGCTATCTGGGGAGATCGCCCCTGGAAAGCAAACCTAGTATCCTATTTTAGATACATAGACGACTTGTTTTTTTATCTGGAAAGGTCCTGAAACCTCACTTAAACTTTTTTTAAACCATCTAAACAACAACAATAGTGGCATCATTTTAACACCAGAACACAGCAAAGATTTAATAAATTTTTTAGACATCCAAATTTTTATCCAGGATGGGAATATTAACACTAGAACTTTTTTTTTTAAAAAGTGTGCACCAACACAGTCATTGACAGATCAAGCTGCCACTACCAACCATGGTTAGATGGGGTCCCTAAAGCTCAGTTCCTACGTCTTCGCAGGAACTGTTCCCTTAATACAGATTTCGACGAACAAGCTAGAACACTAGAAGCTCAATTTATCAGTAAAAATTACCCAAAAGAAAAGCTAGAAGAATCCCTCAAAGCAGTGAAACAAAAAGAAAGACTCAAGCTCTTAGAATATAATACGAATAAAAATAAAGACCCACCATCCATGCCGATCATCTTTAACTTTGACAATAAGAATAAAATTGTGAAAAAAACTATTCAAAAACACTGGCACATTTTAAAACAAGACGAAATTTTAAAGACACTCATACCAGATAAACCCCATATCATTTTTAGAGGGGCCCCAAACCTAAAGACAATGCTTACTAAAAATTATACAAAAAAAGCCAATACAAGAAATCCATAATTTTTATCAAATTCTAAAGGTTTTTCCAAATGCAACAGATGCATTGTCTGCAGATCCACTGACCAAAACAGCACATCAAAAACAACACAATTCACCTCAAATGATACCCTATCAAAGATTTAATATGTTGCACTACTAAGAATGTTGTATACCTATTGGAGTGCCCGTGTGGCCTCCAGTATGTGGGTATGACCACACGATGCTTAAAAATAAGGTTAGCAGAACATTGTAGAAATATTATCAAAGACTACCTTAATCACTCTGTTTCAAAGCATTTTATTCAACAAAGACTCAAAATTTTTAAAATGTACTGGGATCCAAAGATGTAAATTATCCTGGAGGGGAGGTGACCTCAAAAAATTACTGGGACAAAAAGAAATGCACTGGGTGTTCCTTTTAAAAACCTTTACCCCCGAAGGTCTTAATGTAGAGTTCGACCTGTTTAATTTTTTATAATTTTTGTATAATTTTTTATAATTAATTTTTTATAATATGTTTCTTATATTTTATTATCTTCTGTAATTATTTTGTGCATGAAGTATATATTTATATATTGTGACTTATATACGTGACTGTTCTATCTAAATAATATGCAAGGTGAGTATAAAACCTAGTTTTTAATTTTAAACTATCACATGTTTCACATATAGGTATGTACTCACTTACACATATAAAATTTAGCACTTAAAAAAAAAAAAAGGAATTATGACATCATTTTGGCGCCATTTTCTAATATGTTCACTGCCTATATAAACCTGTATGTAACAGGATGTACTTTCTGATCTCCACTTGATAAAGCCTAAGGGCTAAACGCGTTGTGGTTTTTTAACCCCTTAAGGACACATGACATGTGTGACATGTCATGATTCCCTTTTATTCCAGAAGTTTGGTCCTTAAGGGGTTAAACTATGTTGTTTTAAATAAAGGTATTTTGGCCACTTTCTTACTGTGAGTTAGCCATCTTACTTTTTATTACTATTATCATTTTACTTTTTTACTACTACCATCCTTTTATCCGGCACCAGAAGTGTTTTTACTTTCTAGTGAGGATATTACTCCCAAGAATCCTAGGTGGGGATTATATCACTCAAGCTGTACTCATTGAACAGTTAGTCTGTTCAACTAAATGTAAGTAACCACTTGTTTTTTTTTAATTTATGTGGTTTGTAGTGGCGCAGCCTTCCTTTATTTTTTCTGTACCAGTTCTGTTTAGTTATACTTTTCCTTTTTCCTTACTTAACAAATAACCAAGTAGGGGCTGTAACGGAGCTCCCTGTACCCCGGCTGGTTACCTCCGTCAGAGGATTTGCTTCCTAGCTGGGACCAGGGGAAACGGGTAGGGGAACTAGCTCTCTTAGTCCTTACAAGGACTTTCCCCGTTGCATCTCCCTGCAAGCTGGAATAGCAGACATAGGGGTTAAATCTTCCTTACCTCCAGTAACCGGATGACATACAGTTCTGGAGGTTAAAACACTGACTGGCAATCTTTATTTGGAACACACAGCCTTTATGCACAGACCCCCACAGGGGGTCTCCACTCAGTACAACACAATCCCGGGCAGGAGGGGGCTGGGTTACAGATAGCCATCTCCTGCTCTGGGAGATACCAACAGTACATACAGATACACACATTAAAACACATAAACTCCTCAAAAGTACATTTCCAATTTCACAAGGGGTTAATTGGATTGCATGGAATGTCCAAGCTTCCAACCCCATAAGCTTGGTCTCCAGCAGAGCTATTCTGTAACGCAGTGGCGGATCCAGAGCCTGATCTCAGGTGGGGCACTTGTAGATTATTGAAATAAATAATCCAGGCACAATAACCACTACAGCTCATTGTGTTAGGGTGCCAGTAGTGCAGGTTCCCATCCCAGAGTAACCAGTCAAACCGTTTAAGAACAGTTTGACAACTTACCTGGGGGTCTAGTAGGATATAGGGCATAGGAGCAGTGGTATGTGTGAGGGGTGAAGTGTGTGTGAAAGGTGCAGTGTGTGTGAGTGCGTAAGGGCGGCAGTGTATGTCAGGGTTGCAGTGTGTGTGTTAGGGGGCAGTGTGTGTGCAAGCGGTGCAGTGTATGTGTGTTTGGGGCAGTGTGTGTATGGGGGGCACTGTATATGTGTGTGGGGCAGTGTGTGTATGGGGGGCACTGTATGTGTGTGTGTGGGGCACTGTATGTATGTGTGGGGCAGTGTGTATTGGGGGGGTCATGTGTATGGGGGGGCCGTGTGTGTGTGGGACAATGTGTGTATGGGTGTGTAGTGTATGTGTGTGGGGGCAATGTGTGTATGGGTGGGCAGTGTTTGTGGGGCAGTGTATGTATGGGTGTGCAGTGTGTGTATGGGTGGCAGTGTTTTGGGGCAGTGTGTGTGTGTGTGTGTGGCAGTGTTTGGGGCAGTGTGGCAGTGTGGGGCAGTGTGTGTATGGGGGTGTTTGTGGGGCAGTGTGTATGGGGCAGTGTTTGTGGGGCAGTGTGTGGGCAGTGTTTGTGGGGCAGTGTGTGTAGTGTGTGTATGGGGGCAGTGTTTGTGGGGCAGTGTGTGTAGTGTGTGTATGGGGGCAGTGTGTGTATGGGGGGCAGTGTTTGTGGGGCAGTGTGTGTGTAGTGTGTTATGGGGCAGTGTGTGTGTGTGTGTGTGGGGTAGTGATTGTGGGGCAGTGTGTGTGTGTGGCCGTGTTTGTAGGACAGTGTGTGTGGGGCAGTGTTTGTGGGGCAGTGTGTGTGGGGGGCAGTGTGTGGGGCAGTGTGTGTGTGGGGCAGTGTGTGCATGGGGGGAGGAGGGAAGGGGTGCTTTTTAAGAATGTTTTTTTTTAATTTAATAAAATAAATAAATACATGTCCCCCCTCACCTTTACTGGGAGAAGTGGGGACATTTCTGGATCCCTGGTGGTCCGGTGGGGATTCCCTGATGGCACCAGTGGTGAGAGTGAACTGTGGCCCGTAGCTCCAGGGCTAGAGTTCACTCTCGCGAGATTTGGAGCGTTGCCGTGGTACCAGCTACCAGCAATGTGCATGCGGACCGGGAAGGGAGATCTCTGATCTCTGATATCCCTACCTGATCCGCAGGCACATTGCAGGGCTGGCACTTGGACAATGCCAGCCCTGCATTAGCCGGCAGGAGAGAGTCTCGGGGGGGGTGGGGCAATTGCTCCGTTGGCCCCCCTGAATCCGCCACTGCACTAATGTGTGCTGGAAGTCTTTTGATATGGTAATGATCAAGCCTTCTAGAAACAGTAAACCCTGTTACACCATATACAAAAGAGACATTTGCTTAACCCAATTATCCCCCCAGGCACTAGAGTTGCATAAAACATAAACAATTAAATATACATTCCAAGCATATAGGAACCCTTAAAATAAACCAGGGAAATAAACCAGGGAAATTCATAACCAATACATGGGGAAAACACATAATACAATGGAAAAACACACAAATAAGCAGTGGGCATGGTACGTAGTGACGGTGACGTAGTGACAAGGGAACTTACTATGTTTTTTTTTAGCTATGTGACCTAGCCTTTATCCTTGTGTGCTTTTTCATGTGAAGTCAGCTAACATGCATAGCCATATCTCTTCCTTTTCTATCCTGACTCACACTCATCTCATTCGCCTTATAATATAAAATGTGCAGTATTCTCAACATTTTAAGTCACATCCACATCCCTGTATTGTCGTACAGACCACCGTAGTATCATCTCTAAGGATCCCCTTACCCGGTGTGATATGGCTCCTTCCTGATGCAGTATTGATTATAGCTGGTATAGTTTTCCCCCATACATTAGTTGAGACTTAATGTTGGGAGTAGATCAGGCTTATTCAGGCAAGACACACAGAATTTATACACATACCCCCAGCATGGGGTCTCAATACAAACCAACACAAACTCCTCCCAGGTGTCCCTGTGTCTGGGAGATAATTGAGTCAAAGACTGGAATGGAATGTATACACAAAAACCCTAAAAGCACATTCAAATTACACAGGAACCCCACATGTCTTATATCCCTGAATAGCCCAGATCCGAGTGCCCAAGTTGTCCAAAAAGTACTCAGATCCTTTCGGTGTAAGGCCATCCGACTAAGGTACTGACCAGCAGTCCACAAGGTTGTAGCCCAAAACAGTTCCCAGGGAGAAAGAGGCAGCAGCTGGTCAACTTTTGGGAGTTCCTATGTGAATACCACCGAATGTTTCCCCTGGCTCTTAGGAAGTGAATGCTCCCCTCAAATAAGTATTTTCCCCCCAAAACACTTTCCTGACTTGTCTATGAGAGGAGCAGGTGGCGGTACAATTTCATCGGGGTTCTCGAGTTGGAGTAACCAACTATAATTAGTTCCATGTGTTCGACGACCAAGTACCGTTGCCTGATTCGGCAGACAAAATGGCCGCTATTCCCTAAAGCATGTGCATTCAGGCATACGAATGGCAGCCACCCAGAGAGAGCACTTGCGTTAATGACTTCTTTTGAAGTTAATGAGCAAGGGTGTGGTTTGGGTTCAGGAAACGAACAAGGGGGTACGGAAAACCAAACAGAGAATGGACCAAGTCTGTTGGGCTGGAGGAGAATAAAACAAGTGTCGGGTGTTCTGACACACTCTGCACACCAAAATAAAAATGTCAAACAAAAAAGAAGGGCATAGAGAATTGTAACAGATGCCCTGTTTGTTGCCTGTTTGTTGGATTTATAATTTTGTTGCTGCTCTGAACTACTTGCTACAATCCTCCCCACCTAAACCAGCATACGAATTCAAACGAACAAACTGTACTCAATTTGTTCGTTTACCGAACAGTTTACCGAACGTTCGACCACCCAAGCCAGTCGTGTGCCGCCAATTGACTTATTTGACTCTGTGCCAAACCGCAACCCCAACGTTCTAAGTGGTTCACTGGGTGGCCATTGATTCGTATGCACTAACATGTGGCGGCGGCCATCTTGTTTTGTCGAATGCGTCCAGCAGGATTTGGTCGTCGAGTGTCTAGAACTATTTTCAGACACTCGATCTCCTGAACACCGCTGAGACTTCCAGGACCACTTAGCCTCGTGATAATCCATCCAAAGAAGGCGGCATTCGGTAGAAAGAACATACGAATGAAGCTGCACACGACCATCTAATGCACGAACGAGTATGTGAACTGTTGTTCGACATTTTATAACGCACAAAAGAGACCGGCTGCACCAGCTGAATTCATGGTACTATTCTGGGCAGGAGCCTCGTGTGCAGCTGGGCAGAAATGGGACTTCCACGTATCTCCTGAACTCCTGAACCGATTCGTATGTTTTTTTTAATATGTTGTTCCCCTAATTATGCCCTATCAGAAAATATATGTTTTATAGGGTTTGGATATGGTTTTATGATAACTCTGAAAATGTGTAAAAAGTTTCATTTTTATGTTTGGAGATAATTGAGTTGATACTGTAATTAACTCAATTATCTCCCAAGCAGAGGGGAGGAATTTTGTGTAATGAATGGGAGTGCTTTATTATGTAACTGTATGTTTATTGGCAGTTGACTATATTTCTCGGTTCCCAAACAAGGTTCAACTGGGTGGCAACCTTGTTGGGAAAGTTGCATAAAAGGCCAGCCTGGCACATTAAAGTTTCAGATCTGCTTAACCCTCAACACGTAGCCTTGTCTCGTGCTTGTAGGGAACCTGCTTCACAACTAATCACTAACTCTTGTAAAAGCTCTATTACCCCTTCACTACTGGTTCAGCTGAGATGACATCTGGAGAATACTGCAGCACAGCTTCTCTCAAGGGAAAAGGACGTCCAACGACATATACCCCTCTGATACTCCGGGTGGCCATTACAAGAATAATATCAGTAAAATACACACACTGTAAAAAAGTAAACATATCAAATTCTTTATTTAATCTGTAAGGAAATAAGTTTTTGTACCCACCTAATTTCTTCCCTTACAATAAATAATAATATGATTACCTCCTTGCCAGGATTTATTCACTATTTGTATACCTAAATATCCTCTAGGATCTTTGTTATTTTTTTTTAAATGTGCGGCACCGCTGATTCTAGCCTTATATTATATTATTTACATGCTCTTTGATCCTTTTTATATAGTGGATATACTGTAGACCATAAATACATATACAAAGGTAAAGGACATTCTTTATAAAACACATAATGAAAATATTTGATAAAACAAATTCTTCCTCTTCATACTTTATATTAAATGTATTTATTTATCCCTTCTAGCATCTTATTTTTAAAAAATTTACAATGCTGACGCCTCTTGCATGAATAAAACCCCTTTTTTTGTTATTTTGAAAAAATATATATTTTTTTTAATTTTTTTTTTAAAATTAGGACTAAATTGCATTTGTCAAATCTCTGTCTTTCCTTAATATGCCCCAATGTTTATTTATTATTTCAAATGTGAGGAAGGCCGAACTTGATGGACGCAAGTCTCTTTTCAGCTATGTAACTATGTAACAATAGATTTATCTCTTGAAAGTATTATTACAATTGACTACAAATGGTGTTTTATTATCATTACTTCTTTTAATTAGTACTATACAGCACATAATAATTTGCATTTTTTTTATTGTTTAAAACTTATTACCAAGATCCAAAAATGTATATTCACTGTGATAAAATGGCTCGTTAAATGGATTGCCCAATCATTTTCATTTAATTTATTTCACAGAGCCTCTCCAATTAAAATATATCATCTATAAATCTATGGTAAGTGACCAGTTCACTTCCCACTTTAGGCTGACATAAATATATACTTAAGCCGCCAGCCTGCCATAAACACATTAGCATAGCTATAGCCAAACCTTAGGCAAACCTTAGGCAAACCTTTGTAATTTTTACTAGGCATGTAAAATCTACAAAGGCAGAAGGCCTTTCCCACCAGAATTTGTGACTTGTATTATGGCATTATATGTTATCCCTTGCAGGTTTTGTATCTCTCCCATTAAGGATAACAAACAACATATTTTCCCACTATTATTAATCCTATCCCTAGAACCATTAGCAGAAAAGGGACTCACCCAGATATCTTGAAGTGATGGTAAGTCACATAACCGTTGAGTTGTTTCAGATTTATCACTGGTCGGACACCTCCACCCTTTTTGGGGACCAAAAAGAGGTTGCTTATGTAACCCAGGGTATGGGCGGGAATCTTGATGATGACTTTCTTGCAAATTAATTTCTGTATCTCCTTGAAGACGAGGTCTGCGTCTCGTTGGGAGAAAAACAATTTCCCTGGGGAAGGGATATTGAATAGGCAGAGAAATGAAATGTATGCAATAACCTTTCAAAGGTTGAACAACCCAAGCATCTGATGTAATAAGTGACCATACATGGGCAAAATGGGTGAGTCTGTCTCCCACTTCTTTTGCCCATGTATGGAAAATGGTTTTTATAAGCACTTACCGTAAGGTTGTCATCCTGAACGAGTACCTTGTGTGCCTTAAGCAACCCAGGGCTGGCCACATTGTGTTTTTCTTTGCTGCTGAGGGAAATAAAGAAAGAGTACAACATATACAGCATAATATGAGCTGCCGTGTCTTTAATACAATTATATAGTGATGTCGGGAACACGAAATTTTCAGTTCGCGAACGGCGAACGCGAACTTCCGCAAATGTTCGCGAATCGGCGAACCGGGCGAACCGCCATAGACTTCAATGGGCAGGCGAATTTTAAAACACACAGGGACTCTTTCTGGCCACAATAGGGATGGAAAAGTTGTTTCAAGGGGACTAACACCTGGACTGTGGCATGCCGGAGGAGGATCCATGGCAAAACTCCCATGGAAAATTACACAGTTGATACAGAGTCTGGTTTTAATCCATAAAGGGCAGAAATCACCTAACATTCCTAAATCACAATGAATATGGATTGACACCTGACATATGACATATTGACACCTTGCATATGGATTGACACCTGTCCTCAGAGCCCCTGATGCACACGACACAGAGCAGAATAGGGACTGGTCCCCTACATAGGGTCACTTGGCAGATATGGATTGACACCTATCCTAAGGATCCCTGATACACACTGACAAAGAGCAAACTAGAGACTGTTCCCCCTACATAGGGTCACTTGGCAGGTATGGATTGACACCTGTCCTCAGAGACCATGATACACACTGACACAGAGCAGAATAGAGACTGTTCCCCCTACATAGGGTCACTTAGCAGATATGGATTGACACCTGTCCTCAGAGCCCCTGATACACACTGACACAGAGCAGAATAGAGACTGTTCCTCCTACATAGGGTCACTTGGCAGATATGGATTGACACCTGTCCCCAGAGACCATGATACACACTGACACAGAGCAGAATAGAGACTGTTCCCCTACATAGGGTCACTTGGCAGATATGGATTGACACCTGTCCTCAAAGCCCTTGATACACACTGATACAGAGCAGAATAGAGACTGTTCCCCCTACATAGGGTCACTTGGCAGATATGGATTGGCACCTGTCCTCAGAGACCATGATACACACTGACACAGAGCAGAATAGAGACTGTTCCCCCTACATAGGGTCACTTGGCAGATATGGATTGACACTTGTCCTCAGAGACCCTGATACACACTGACACAGAGCAAAATAGAGACTGTTCTCCTACATAGGGTCACTTGGCAGATATGGATTGACACCTGTCCTCAGAGACCATGATACACACTGACACAGAGCAGAATAGAGACTGTTCCCCCTACATAGGGTCACTTGGCAGATATGGATTGACACCTGTCCTCAGAGACCATGATACACGCTGACACAGAGCAGAATAGGGACTGTTCCCCCTACATCGGGTCACTTGGCAGATATGGATTGACACTGTCCACAAGGACAAGCTGCAGACTTCCTGGCAGTGCCCATACAAGGTGGTAGAGCAGGTTTGTGATACCACCTTTGTGATCGGTGCGGTCACAGGCACGGGAGGCAAGCGCATGCTCCATGTGAACATGCTCAAGCCATACCACTAGCGCACGGAAGATGTAACCGCGATCTGTGCACCTGCCACTGAAGATTATGATAATTTGCCACTCCCAGATCTCCTAGACCTAGAGGGCCAGAGCGGAGACCTGGGAGAAGTACAGTTAGGAGAACGGTTAGACCCCAAGGAGCGAACCCAGGTCCAAAGACTAATCCAGGACAAGGGGGCCACGTTTTCCAACCTACCTGGGTACAGTCCATTAACCACTCACAAAGATGAAACCCTAGACCAGACCGCCCTTCGCCAAACCACCTATCGCATACCCGAAGCAGTTAAAGAAAATATTCAGAAAGAAATTGAGGAAATGATGCAGTTAGGGGTGATAGAACACTCTGACAGCCCCTGGGCCTCCCCGGTAGTAATAGTACCGAAACGGGACGGCACGACCCGTTTCTGTGTAGACTACCGGAGGCTAAACGATAAAACAACCTCAGACGCCTACCCTATGCCCCGGATAGACGAGCTCCTAGATAAAATGGCCAGAGGCCAGTACCTCACCACAATAGATCTGTGCAAGGGGTACTGGCAAATTCCATTAGCCGAGGACGCCATCCACAAGTCAGCATTTGTCACCTCGTTTGGCCTGTATCAGTTTAAGGCCATGCCATTCGGGATGAAGAATGCCCCGGCTAACTTTCAGAGGATGGTAGATCGGCTACTGGATGGGTTTCAGGAGTATGGCTGCGCCTACTTGGATGATATAGCCATTTTTAGCTGCTCCTGGCCCTAACACCTGACCCACATAGGAGCCGTACTAGACCGAATTAAGGAGGCCGGACTGACCCTAAAGCCCAGTAAGTGCCATATAGGAACGTGTAAAAAGATAGTAGTATGGGCCCCAGAGTGTGAACAGGCCTTCCAACAGCTCAAGACGGCGCTCATTAAATCATCTGTATTTTCTGCTCCTGATCCAACTAAACGCTTTCTCGTCCATACAGACGCTTCTATGTTTGGATTGGGAGCAGTACTGAGCCAAGTCGGAGCAGATGGCGGCGAGCAACCCGAGGCTTATCTAAGCCGGAAACTTTTGCCCAGGGAAGTAGATACACTGCCATTGAAAAGGAGTGCCTGGCGGTGGTGTGGTCCCTCAAAAAGCTGCAACCTTACTTGAATGGACAACCGTTTACCTTACTCACAGATCACAACAAATTTGGGGCACTGCGCGTGCAATCTAATGTGCCACCAGATAGGAGTGGTGTGTTAAGTAGTACTATTCTTATCTGTTTAATCCCTGTTACGTCCCCTATCCGTTGATGTGGAGCAAGACGCAGCAGCAGAAGAGGAGGTTATGGAAGAGGATGGAGTAGGAGGAGTAGAGGAGGTGGCAGCAGGCCTCCCTGCAAGTCATGGCGGTGTCACCAACTCCTCTGCAGAGCCACGCATTCCATGCTTGGCAGCCGTCAGCAGGTTTGCCCAATGCGCAGTGTAGGTGATATACCTGCCCTGACCATGCTTTGCAGACCAGGTATCAGTGGTCAGATGGACCCTTGCCTCAACACTGTGTTCCAGACATACCATTATTTCCTTTTGCACAATCAAGTACAGGTTGGGGATTGCCTTTTGTGAAAAGAAATTTCGTCCGGGTACCAGTGAGTGAGTGGTGGCACTGGGCACAGTATCCACTGTGAGCCTGACACACCCGCTGGCAGACAACTAACTGCTATTCAATCTATAACAGTGAAAAAAGTTTTTTGTTTTTAAATGCAAGGCCTGACACCCGCTTTAAGGACACTGACTGCTATTAGCTTACACTGAAAAAAAAAACTTTTTTTCTTTGTAAAAGCACGCTATAGAGACACCAGATATGAGTGGCAAAGTACACGGGCAAAGGTCTGCAGAGCACACGCTGAAGGAGGCCTGACACCCGCTTTAAGGACACTGACTGCTATTAGCTTACACTGAAAAACTCTTTTTCTTTGTAAAAGCACGCTATAGAGACACCAGATATGAGTGGCAAAGTACACGGGCAGAGGTCTGCAGAGCACACGCTGAAGGAGGCCTGACACCCAGGCGCTTGCAGACAACTAACTGCTATTCAATCTATTACAGTGAAAAAAAAATTTTTTCTTTTTAAATGTCAAGCTTAAGCTATTGTGACACCAGATATGAGTCGTGGCACTGGGCAAATGGGCACAGTATCCACTGTGAGCCTGACACACCCGCTTTAAGGACACTGGCTGCTATTCAATCTATAACAGTGAAAAAAGTTTTTTGTTTTTAAATGCAAGCTATTGTGACACCAGTGAGTGAGTGTTGGCACTGGGCACAGTATCCACTGTGAGCCTGACACACCCGCTTTAAGACACTGACTGCTATTCAATCTATAACAGTGAAAAAAGTTTTTTGTTTTTAAATGCAAGCTATTGTGACACCAGTGAGTGAGTGGTGGCACTCAGCACAGTATCCACTGTGAGCCTGACACACCCGCTTTGAGACAACTAACTGCTATTCAATCTATAACAGTGAAAAAAGTTTTTTGTTTTTAAATGCAAGCTATTGTGACACCAGATATGAGTGGTGGCACTGAGGGCAAATGGGCACAGTATCCACTGTGAGCCTGACACAGAAGCTGGCAGCAGTGGCAGACAACTAACTGCTATTCAATCTATAACAGTGAAAAAGTTTTTGTTTTAAATGCAAGCTATTGTGACACCAGATATGAGTGGTGGCACTGACTGGGCAAATGGGCACAGTATCCACTGTGAGCCTGGACACAGAAGCTGGCAGCAGTGGCAGACAACCAACTGCAAATTACATTACAAAAAAAAAAAAAAAAGCAGACTGATGTTCTAGCCCTAAAAGGGCTTTTTTGGGTGCTGTCCTTACAGCAGAGATCAGATGAGTCCTTCAGGACTGTAGTGGACACTGTATACCCTAACCTAGCTATGCATTTCCCTATCTAATCAACAGCAGCTACACTTTCCCTCCTCTCACTAAGCATGCAGCTTGAGAATGAATCTAAAATGGATGCTGTCCAGTAGGTGGGAGGGTCGGCTAGGGAGGGTGTGCTGCTAATTGGCTGGAATGTGTCTGCTGACTGTGAGGTACAGGGTCAAAGTTTACTCAATGATGACGAATAGGGGGCGGATCGAACCGCGCATGTGTTCGCCATCCGCGGCGGACGCGAACACGCTATGTACCGTTCGGTGCATCACTACAATTATATTTTCTGTACTGCTTTTATTGTTGCAATTTACAAGTTCTTGCCACACTTTTTCTTGTTACATAGCATAACCTCTTGTTTTGATCCTTTTCTTTTTGTTATTCCGCTGAAAACCTCAATAAACTATATGAGAAAAAATAATTACCCGATAGGATTTTTTTTTTTTACTTTAAAATATATGTTTATGGAATGGCAATGATATATGTTAGTGCAGTTTGAAGGTCAAAATTGCAGCAGAGTTCAAAAAATGTGTAATAGTTCACTGATTGGGGGAGTGTCAGATAAACAGGCATTTATTGTGGGAAGATATGACTTTCCAGATATTACTTCATGCATCTCTATAAAGCTATTTGCCTAAGGTCATTTTACAGGCTATGGGGAAACATTATACATTATATAAATTATAAGGTTCAATCAAGGGTGATCATAATACCTTTTTCTGTTATTCATAGACAGGATTGCTTAATAACTCAAGAGTCTTATGGGGTTATTCACTGAAAGCATAACTGAGTTAGATAATTCTTAAACTTCTGCTATTTTGGCCTTAAGTATGTAATTCACTTGGATTTCTTAATAAATATAACTTTAGTTTAAAAAAAAAAAGATGAAAAACAACCTTGACCCAGATAGTGTTATTCGCTAAAGTGTGAATTGTACGAAATTGAAAGTAAATTTCTCATTTTAGACCAACATAGATGAACTCAGACTATTTTTAATTAAGATTTGCATTTCACATTGAAGTTCGAAAATTCACAATTTCATGAGTAACTGAGTGGTTAAAGGGACAATATAGTCACCAAAACAACTTTAGCTTAATTAAATAGTTTTGGTGTATAGATCATGCCCCTGCAGTCTCAATGCTCAATTGTCTGCCATTTAGGAGTTAAATCACTTTGTTTATGAACCCTAGTCACAACTTCCTGCATGTGACTTGCACAGCCTTTCTTAACACTTCCTGTAAAGAGTCATCTAATGTTTATCCTTCCTTTATTGCAAGGTCTATTTAATTTAGATTTTCTTATCCCCTGCTATATTAATAGCTTGCTAGACCCTGCAAGAGTCTCCTGTATGTGATCAAAGTTCAATTTACAGAGCAAAATATAAAATTGTTTAAGGTAAATTACATCTGATTGAAAGTGAAACCAGTTTTTTTTCATGCAGGCTGTGTCAATCAGAGCCAGTGGGATTGTGGCAAGGGCTGCATAAACAGAAAAAAACGTGATTTAACTCTTAAATGACAGTGAATTCAGCAATAAAACCCGAGAGGCATGATCTAAACACTAAAACTGCTTTATTAAGCTAAAGTTGTTTAGGTGACTATAGTGTTTCTTTAACATTATGTATCAATAAGCAAAATAAATTAAGCATACCCTACTGAAAACATCACTGGAAAGTTGTTTCCTTTGCTTTGTTTAAGGCAGGAATCCCACATCGACCTATAAGTCCAAGAAATCTTTCAATGGAATAAATATCCACAGAATCATGGAAGTTGTAGTTCAGCAACATTTAGGGGGTGGAGTTTGAAATGCTTGCTTCAAAGGGCACCAACACAACCTAAGTGCACTTGATAGATTTTTGCCTCATATTCATGCTGTATTTTTCTCTTTGTTCAAATATATTTAGTTCTGCTTAAAAGGACAAAATTGTACCTGTCCCTGCAGTCATGACATATCAAATATTACCATTTCAAAGAAGCCCCCGTGTTTACATTTGGCCATAAGTAGCCTATAAGAACTATCAGATTGATAGCACTAGAGACGGTTCCTCACTAAAGACCTTTGAGTGTAGTGATTTTGTATTTACTATCAACTATGGTCAGTCACGTACTGTCCATCCAAAAAAAACAGGCAAATGTCTGGTGGGCCACAATGGTCATGGGCTGAGATGGACAGGGGAGATAAAGGATCTCCCCTGCCAGTTCCCCTTCCAGTTCATGCAGGCTTGAAACTAAGAGTGTTGGCCAAGAGAGAGAGCTGTAAAATGTCCTGGATAGAGAGGAGATCAAAGATCACCATCAACTGCAAGCCCAGACATAGGAGCCCAGTGAAAATGTGGTCTGCACCTCCAGCTGGTGCAGACCACATTAATAGCTCCTGCAAGTGTATGAGAGCATAGCTGTTGGTTACCATGGCAAGGCTCTGATACTTTAGGTTGTTCCAGACCAGGGGGAGCAGCATTGTCTGCGTATTCCAGGGTTACGGGCCAAACGATTGGATCAGTAGACTGGTCAAGTGATTGGACTTTTCTCTTTTCCCTAGCCTAAGTTACCTAAGTTAGCCTAAGGAAAATATTTCCAGCATTAAGAAGGGGAAATTAATTTTCTTTTTTAGATTTTATATATATTTTTTTAACAACACCCCTATCATCCCACACACTCGGTGCATCCCCTATCAACCTCTCTTACTCAGTAAAACCCCCATCTTCCCTCACACACTAAAGCCCCTATCTCCCCATACAACAACCCCTATACCTCCTACACTATAGCTGCTCTCCCCAATGCACACACTTCCCCCAACAATACAGCCCCTATCCCAAACACACACTATCTTCCTTGCACACATACTAAAGACTCTATATTCCCCTATCCCAAACACACACTATCTTCCTTGCACACATACTAAAGACTCTATATTCCCCACAAACAGTAGAGTTCCTATCATACACACACGCACACACATAACACGGCCCTGATAGCCTACAGATGCATGTTACAGCCTCTTCCCCTCCACACACATTACAACCTTTATTGCACACTACACATTAGACAGCCTTCCTACACATACACATAACATCACAAGAAGCTTCTCACACACACGCAGCCCTACAAGTAGCCTCCAAACCCCATAAAGCGCCACAGGCAGCTTCCACACATTGCACACACAACACCCTCTCATATCCCCTTTTTCCCCTTGTGTCTCAATTATGGACAACTCACCAGCAAACAGAAAGCAAACATCTTTATAACGTAAAGGAAAGTATTAGGCACTCGCTATAGTATTAAACCTAGGATGATTGTGGGCAGCAGTAACCAATACAAGGATTCCCAAGCCTTGTGAGTGTTAGAATATTCACAAGGCTGAAGAAGAAGCCTTTAACAGGGGAAATTCGTAACGTGGGACCCTCTGAAGATATTTGATATTGTTTATAAATATAAATAAATGGTAAATTTTTATATTTACAAATGTATTTTTTAACCTTCATTTTATTCACTTCCTGGCACCACATACACACTGCATCACCTACACAAACTGGTATCCCTAAACACTACATTCCATAAGCACACACTTTAGATCCTCTACAGTAACACATAACACATCCCCTACACACTCCACTCCCTATGAGCGAACTCATGGGTGGAACATGTAGGTGGACTTTATGGGCACTTTATGGCACTTTATGGGCATACTCACTGTCAGGCCCTGGGGCCCAGACCTTGAGCTATGTAAGAGGCCCCAAAAAAATGGAGCTGCTTCCCGTTCTCCCAGAACATTGAATTTTGTGACCACAGTTCCAGAGATCCTGTTCTACACCAGACGAGTGGAGCAAGACTGCAGCCAGAGCCCATCACCATCCTTATCTGATTGTAAGTAGGCAATCTAGTATATTATTAGTGACACTAATCTCTAATTTACCTCACATTAAACGGACACTATAGTCCCCAGAACCACTGCAGCTTAATAAAGTTGTTCTGGTGTCTATAGCCAGTCCCTGCAGGCTTTTTAATGTAAACACACACTGTGTGCAGCACTGGCATTAGTTCATATGGCAGATCATATGGGTGGGGCATGCATGTCCATAAATCATTATTTTGCCTAGGGCGGCAAAAATCCTTGCACCGGCCCTGATAACCTGCATACTGCACCTTATCTGAGATACCAGAGACATCTATATCTACATACATCCTTATCCATTAGCTCTAGCAAATGTGAGTGATACTGCATAAAATAATTATAATATTCCCCCACTGGACATACCATACCATATTGCACTGTTGTATTTCCTTTGTCTTTTTATTTTTGAGGTCAACTGTGTGTACAACTTTAAAAAGATTTGTGTACGTATATACCTATTATTTATACTGTTTGGGGCGCGGTCTCCTCCTACTTTTTTCTAAGCATCTTTATAAATTGGTAAACAAACACAGGGCATTTTTCCCCATGCAGGACCTTTTCATCCAGGCTCTCTGCATGGGCTACCATTAGTGTGGGTTCCATTAATAATGACAAGTGTGAAGTGGATCAGGAGCAAACCAGAAAGCACTGTATCATGACAGAAAAACATCATTATCATAGTACGATTTCCCATTATAACATATTTCTGTAGTGAGGCGCCATCTACTGGCAATTTACTCGTTTTGAAGTACTTCCTAGGTTTTCACTAGTTCCCACTGCAGGCAGAATGCATACTCAGTTATGTTTAACGAACTATTATTGGGATAGTCTAGGTCTTTATTATTTTTGGTCTGAATGGTCTTCTACAGGTTATGTTAGTTGAAATATACTTGTACTTTTAGACTCACAATAAAGCTTACATTTTAAGCATTTTGTCTACATCCATTTTCTGCGCTTCTCATTATTGATGACTCAACATGCCCCTCTCTGGCCTGTCTAAGAAAAGTCATATACTGTTTGACTACTCCGAAAAATGTGTCCTAAACCCCAAAAATATACATGAAAGTATCAATAGTAGGAAGGCTCTATAAAAATACTAAATTAACTAAATATACAGCCCGATATAACACTATGGTGATAGTGACTAGAAAAAATCGAAAGGGAATAAAATACACAAAGATAGTGTAATACAATCAAATATAAAGTGAGAGGGGGGAGAGGGAGGTAGACACTCACACTCACAAAATGCTTGTAAAAAGCACGCACATCTCCCCATAGGGGTACAGCCAGACTTGGACCTCTTGTTCCAACTTTTGTCTTAAGGTATAAGACTTTCTGCCAATAAGGAGGGCAATGATAGTAATAGACATGTGAGCTTAAAATGAACACTATAGAGTCAGAAATACAAACATAGTGTTAAAAATACCATCTAGCCCTCCTTGCCTACCTAAAAATAGTTAAATCTTACTTGTATTCAAGTCTGCAGGTGCAGGTGCTGCCTCTGCCCCTGATCTGCCTGCTTGGCTGACATCATCAGAAGTGATTCTCTGAGCCAATCGCATTGCTTTCACATTGGATTGGCTGTGCTTGTCAAGGAGGCAGATCAGGGGCAGAGCCAGCACAAGCCAAATAAAGCCCTGACCAATCATGCATCTCTGTTAAGAAAATTCAGTATCTCCATGAAGAGGGAGGATGTGCAGCACTGCCCCAGGAAGCACCTCTAGTAGCTATCTGAGGAGTGACCAGTGGAGTTATCACTAGGCTGTAATGTAAACACTACATTTTCTCTGAAAAGACAGTGTTTACTACAAAAAATCCTGAAGGAAATTATTCTACTCACAAGAACAAATACAATAAGCTGTAGTTATTCTGGTGACTATAGTGTCCCTTTAACATCAATGTTTTCCATATCACGAAATGGGAAATTCTGAGAGTTTGAAAACCAGTTTACTTCCCTTTTCAACATCCAGCCTTGGAAACAAATCATGTGTATGTGTTAAACATCAGCATTAAAAAATATGTCTCACACCTTGGAATAAAAATCTCCAGTAAAGAGTCACCATATGCAGATATAGACAAGATGTATACATACATATATGTAACCCCTCTGGAACACAGTGAACTGGCAGTTGGAGTTCAGAGAAGGATGGAGAAGGAAGTTTTGGGAGTGAGAGCTGCTGGTTCCCGTGTGAAGCCCCACTGGAAGGAGGATTTCAGCAGGCATCTACATCATGACTTAAGTACAGTGCAGTTTCTTTGGCAGATACTTGCTAGGGAAGGAGAGAGAAAATCCCAGAATCAACAAGAAGCAGTGTTTCCCCTTCTGTCTGGCCCTGATTACATTCGGTGTGGTAATCCTGCATACTCTCCCCCTGTACGCAGCAGCAGTGCTATCTTAACAACATTATGGGCCCTGGGTAAACCAGTGCACTGGGGCCTTGCCTACACAACCAGTCACAGGAATAAAAATTTAAATTATCGATAAAACTCTGCTTATATTTATTGGTACCTCCAACAAATGCAATACATTCATACATTACAAACACACAGACTGCTGTATACACACACACAGGCTGCTGAATACATACACACAGACTACTAAATACACACACAGACTGCTGAGTACACACACACAGACTTCTAAATGCATAAACAGACTGCGTAATACACACACACAGAGACTGCTGAATACATACACACAGACTACTAAATACACACACAGACTGCTGAGTACACACACACAGACTTCTAAATGCATAAACAGACTGCGTAATACACACACACAGAGAGACTGCTGAATACATACATACAGACTGCTGAATACATACACATACTTCTGAACATACACACACAGACTGCTGAATACACACAGGCAGACAGCAGTGAGGTCGGGGGTGTGAGGGGTGCTGTGTGTGTGTGAGTGGTGCTATGTGTGTGTGTGTGTGTGTGTGAGAGAGGGGTGCTGTGTGTGAGGAGTGCTGTGTGTGTGTGAGAGAGTTGCTGTGTGTGTGTGAGGGGTGCTTTGTGTGTGTGTGTGTGTGTGTGTGTGTGAGGGGTGCTGTGTGTGAATGTGAGGGGTGCAGTGTGTGAAGGGTTCTCTATGTGTGTGGGGGAAGGGAGTGCATAGGGAAAATAGATTTGTTGTTTCTTATTTTTATTTAAAATTCATTTAAATTTAAAAAAAGCTTTATGTCCCCCCTTAGTGCCTCCACCCTTCTTCTTACCTTTGGTTGAAGTGGGGACACTGCCACCCCTAGTGGTCCGGTGGTAAGTAATGATCTTCAGCTTCTCTGGCTGCAGGCTATCTTCACTCCTCCCGTGAGCAGAATGCTGTGTCAGACCAGCAAGCTCACGGGAGGAATTGCTTCCCAGGTCCTCTCTCCCTCTCTCTAATGAAGGACCTTTGGGCTGGTGAGGGAGATCTTTGAGAGCCCAAACCAAGTGAGCAGGGCCAGCTCTCCGTGGGCTGGCAGGGGAGATCAAAGGATCTCCCCTGTGGGCCAGGTACATGGGAAATGCTGTGGGGCCCCCATGCTTGTGGGTTCCCTGGCAACTGCCCAGCGTGCCCATGCGGAAAGATGGCCCTGCACAGTTTAGAGACTGGACCCCTCTACAGTTTTCCAGACCCATCAGGTGAATTACAAACAGCTTACTGGGCCCCAACTACGTGCACCGACCGCTAGGGTGAAGGCCTAAGGAAACGGTGGGGGGGGGGGACGCAGTGTTACTGTGGGTGGGCATATATGTGAGGTACTCCATTATAACAATGTTTTAATTGTATTGTATTCTATTGGTGTCAAATGTTGCTGTACAATACAGAATTCTTTAGACAGATAACCCAGTGTCAGTTGTTGTCGATATAACCATGTTCTCAGCGGGACCCCACATCCACAATCTGGATGCCCAGCTGGGTGGAGGAACTGCCGTAAGTGGGTACCCAATCCCCCATTGGAGGAGGCTCAGGATCGGCCTACCGAGTGCAAAGAGGTAACTGAAGTGAGGGACCCCATGGTTATAAATATGGGTATGCCAAAAAACCCGTTACATATATAATATATGTATCAGATTGGAGTCAATTCACTAAAGCAAGAATTTGTCATAGTAACTGTACATTTTAGACCAAAGTAGCCAATCTGGAGAATATTTTCCTACATTGTGCAGTTCCTTGTTTCAGTTTAGTGATAACGCTTTCAGTTGATTTGAAGCTTTTATTTTGTTTTACTAAAAACTTCACTATGTCTGTCACTTTAAATTGTGAATTATTCAAACACAGATGAGTTGCATAATATTGAGCAGTAAATAATTTGTTAGGAACACAGAAAACTTCTGCCAAAAAAGGAGGATCTGTTCCTGTATGGAGAGATTATTAACAGACATACTTTTGTTTGGATAAGAAAAACTTATTAACTAGTAACTGTTCTTCGCTTCCAGACAGCAACATGTCGGAATTCACCAAGGCGTTTGACTATGAAAAAGAGTTTAATGCACGACTCTACTTAGACACCTATTTTCATCTAGGATCTGGAAGTTTAGCTGATGATTTCTTGAGATTTGAACTTGCCAATTTGCACAAGATATTTACTTCAGGTACGTGGATATCTCAATAGTCGGGGTTATTCACAGGTTGGTCAGGAATCCGAGTGAATGGAAAGTTTTGAATTTTAAATTAAAATTGTACTTTGGAATGTCCTTTCATTTTGCTTGTGCAGATCTGTAGAGTGGTACATATTTTGAACCAAAACAAAACCTGGAATTTTAGCTATTTGTTTGTTCAACCATAATTTCCATCTTTTATGTAAAGTGCACCCACACTTATATTATAACATTTTGTTGAGGAGAAATAGGGTTTTCATTTCACATCAAATATTTATATATGGAACACAATTTAATATGAATAAAATGTAAAAATAAAAAAAAGTGTTGGCTAGGAAGAAATGTTATTTTTCAAGTTCTGAAAGGCATTTTAAAACACATTTTTAGGCTTTGATGTCCCATGACTCTGATTATGCTCCCCCATGTTTAGGTTTCATAGAGTATTTGAAAGTCACAGGGTCAAAATTTTTTAACTATCTGTTATCTTTCTGTAAATCACACATTTGTGACTTTACATAGTATTCTAATCTTATTCTCCTCCTTCCTATGCCCTCTATTCAATTTATCTTCCCTCTTCTACTCTGTTTTCATGTAACGACTCGACTTTAGAATTAGCAGGAAGGACAGACAGAGAGACAGACAGACAGACAGAGAGATAGACAGACAGACAGACAGACAGACAGATTGATAGAAAGATAGATAGATAAACAACTTTAGCTCACATTCCTATTTGCACAGTTGACAGATTTAATTCCAAAAGAGAATAGGCTTGGAAGAAAGGATTACAGCATAAATATGTGGCATAATGGACCATAAGAAATGTTTATAGCATTCCCTATAAAACATTTCATAAAGACTACGCTGGACAAAAAGAAAATTACTTCTATGTTGTGCTCGCTAGGGGCAACAATGATATTTTGGGATAATGCCATCAAAGTCTTTTTGTTGACATAGTAAACCACAAGACAAAACCTCCAAGATGGCTTTATTTTACATGTTTTATTTCTAGTGAGGTCTGGGCTGGTTTTAGGGTTATGTTTCTATTAATCTCAGAGCAGGCAAGGAGCCGGGGTGAGAGGATTGCACTGGCATGTTTCCTAAGCTCCTCTCCCGGCATATCAGTTTTGCGCAAAGAACTAAATTAATGTTGGCTGCTACAAAGAGCCCCAGTAATCTCAGAAAAACTTGTACTTAGATGTCCTGGTGTTGCTATGAAATTAAAGACCTATGATTAAGGACTGTCTTGTGTAAAACGCATAAGAAGCTTCTTGTTTTTCATCCCTGTGCTGTTTACTATGGAGCAAAAAAAATGTATTCTTCGATCTCCTGGTGAGTTCTTGTTTGGTAAGGAGTTTTACTTACCCATGAAATCTAGGCCCTTGCATTGCACAATGCCAGTTACAGCCTGCTTTACATTTCCTAATGCTTGGTGTGACTGTTCATTATTAGATTTGGAAACATGATTTTCCTGCTGCTGTACAGTTATTTTATGAATTGGGTTAACATCAGGTATGTGCTACATGTACACACACACATTTGTGCCAATCAAAACTCAGCCCTATGCACAAAGTGTCAAAGTTAGATAATTAGCCTTTTATTAACCATTGATTGCAATTTTTTTATTGGTAGGGGGTGTGACAGGGAAAACTCTCATAGACATCGGGACATGTCCATCCATTTACCATCTTCTTTCTGCTTGCGAATCGTTTAATGAGATTATAGCTACATGGTACACTCAAACCGAACTGCATGAGCTGCAAATGTGGATGAATAAGGATCAAGGAGCATTTGATTGGTCATCGGTTGTAAAACACGTGTGTGAACTGGAGGGTAAAAGGTAGGTAAAAAAATATGGCATGCAACAAATTATATTTTTTTGAGTCATATTTATAACCTCTGTACCCCAAATTACAAAGATTGAAGATGTGTTCATACTCCTTAATGATTAATCTAAAGCCTTAATGGTTCACTTTAAGCAACATAACCACTACAGTTTGTCAGTGGCCCAGTTATAGTGCAAGGAATCTTTGGGTACCATCCCCCATGTTTTGTTAACACTCTCGGAAAAATTAGAAAGCACCAAAAATGTGTCCCGTTGCCTGTCCATCACCTTGCCTGCCAATAATACAGAGATTCAAATGTAGATTAAAAGAATAATCTGAAATAGGTTTAGAACAAGAACTAAAAGGCACACTTGTAAAAATTGCCCCCAAATAGCAATCTGTCAGTACTCTACAAGATTAGGCAGGGTTTGAATTGGTATGGAATTATAGCCTTGTTTAAATATTTTTGAATACACTTTTCCTATGACTTAATATTTTTGGATAAACTTGTTAAAGGAACAAAACTGTATTCCTAATACTACAGTGTACATCTGCCCCTGCCCCCCTCTCCCGTGGCAAGAAACCCATTCCAGCGCTAAGGTTCCTGCACTGAAGTCCCTTTGCCCTGCACTGTCTCCGCCTCGTCCTACTTCATAATTACAAGGTGCGCCATGTGCAACAAGCACCAGACACGCATTAGGCCTTTCCTTGGAAATTTTGTAGGAAGGCACGATGCTGGGTGGTCGTGGAGACAGGTGGCTAGCTGCGCGAATAGTAGGAGGGGCGGTGAGGGAGCTGTGATGTCTCTGCTCTGCTCCCCCGCACGCTGCTTGATGAGACCGGGGCCGGATATGACATCATATTACGGCCCAGGTCTCACTAAGAGGCGCGCTGGGAGCAGAGCAGGACATCTCAGTTCTCTCGCCGCAAGCAACAATACATGCTGCACGCTTTCCTCCATAATCCCCCAGCATGCCGCCTGCCTGCACAATCCCCCAGCCTGTCGCCCACTGAACCCCACAGGTATTAAAACAAGCAATAATGTGTGAATGTGTATGTGTCAGGATTACTGTTTGATCCAGCACGTAGAACTGTACAGCTCGGATGACAAATAAGTAACGTATTACCGGTCCTTAGAATGGCCGGATTTAACGTACAAAGAATAGTCAAAAATACTAGCCGAGGTCAGGGAACACAGAAAGGGACACAGCGATGAGGAAAGCCAGGAGTCAGGATACCAGAATATAGAGAAGTCAATAAACAAAGCCAAAGTCAAAAACCAGGTAGAAAACTATAAACAGGAACGCGCTCTCAGACAACCACAAGGGAAACCACGACAGGGCACTGAGCAGGCTGAGAACTGGGCCTAAATACCCCTCCTTTCTTTCTGATAGGCTGTAACCGGCCTTTGACCCCAAAGTCAGTTACCAGGTTTCATTTGCATAATTGCTGCTCAGCTTTAACCCTTCTGTGGATTAGGTTGCTGCTCGGCACAACTTTTCCTGTGTGGACAGTAAATGTCATTAACCACTTTTCTATAAGCGGATGAATACATGAGACCAGGTTTCATTTGCACAATTACTGCTCAGCATTAACCCTTCTGTGGATTAGGTTTCTGCGCGGCACAACTTTTCCTGTGTGGACAGTAAATGTCATTAACCACATTTCTATAAGCGGATGAATACGTGACAGTATGCCTGTCAGTGTAAGTGTCTGTCTGTCATAGTGTGAGTGTTTGGGTATGTCTGTCTTGGTGTGTGTGTATGTATATGGGTGTGTGTGTGTGTCTGTCTGTCATGATGTGTGTGTATCTGTCGTGTGTGTATCTGTCTGTCATGGTGTGTCTGTCTGTCATGGTATGCGTGTGTGTGTTTCTGTCTGTCATGGTATGTGTGTGTGTTTCTGTCTGTCATGGTGTGTATCTGTCTGTATCATGGTATATGTGTGTCTGTCTGTTATGGTGTGTGTGCATGTCTGTTTGTCATGGTTATATGTGTGTGTCTGCCATGATGTGTGTATGTGTCATGATATGTGTGTTTAGGTGCCAGACCCTTTATGTTCACAAGGGAATGGTGTTTTTTTTTTATTCACCTTTTTTTCCATGCTGGTCTCCCCTCGACTGGCCCTACTTCTATGGCTGAGATTATCAAGCTTGTTGATCTCAGCCAATCCAATGTTTTCCCACAGGATTTGCTGCAAAACGCTGACACAGGAAGCACCTCTAATGACCGTCTGAGTGACAGTCACTAGAGGTGTCACTAGGAAGCAATGTATAACTACCTTTTCTCTGAAAAGGCAGTGTTTACATTGAAAAGTCTGCAGGGACGGGGTATAGACACCAGAATCACTACATTAAGCTGTAGTGGTCCTGGTGACTATAGTGTCCCTTTAAGAATTTAATTTTTGTCGTTGAATATAAAGCTTTGTAAGTTTAAAAAAAATCTGTCTCTTACCCTTTTTAGCTGGCTTCTAGATTCAAAGCAAATGTGTCAAGCCCTGATATAAAAACTATATCAGTATATCAAAATATGAATATATTTTTCAAAAATTTATATCATTTTAAAAGTTTCTTTAAAAATATGAAATCATGTTAAAAGCTTATCTAACATTTTAACATTGAGGCCTAAATCAGGGTTGGGTTGATATCAGAACTGTTTTTTTTTATATATATATATATAAGTTTTCAATGTTATGCTTTTAATTAAAAATAATAATAATCACATGTTCTTGCAGTGGGAAATGTCAAGAAAAAGAAGACAAGCTAAGAGGAAAAATCAAGCAGGTTTTGCATTGTGATGTCAGTAAAAATAATCCTCTAGAACCTGTTGTGTTGCCCAAAGCTGATTGCCTTATTGCTGCTGTTTGTCTAGAAGCTGCATGTAGGAACCAAAATTCTTACATTACAGCTTTGAAGAACCTCTCAAACCTCCTAAAACCCGAGGGCCACCTTATCCTTGCTGGAGACCTAGGAGCAAACTACTATGAGGTGGGTCCCAACAAGATATTTTCTCTGGCTGTGAGTGAGCAGTCCCTGAGGAACGCGCTTAGTGAAAGTGGCTATGCTATCCGAGAGTTGGTGTCTTTTGGGAAACCAGAAGGTGCCGATTTTGACAATTCAGATTATGAGGGTTTTTATTTTATTCATGCTCAAAAACCCTAAGACTGTTTTTATGAGTTTTTTTTATTAGGTAATTTCATGAAATTTTCCAGAATGTCCTACATGGAATAATCAACCTCCCTTCACTTTCTCCAGCTGAACAAGTTTTTTGTTTCTTTTAATTCCAATAATTTTGGATTTACTATAGCAATTTAAACTTTGGACTCGCAGGCAGGATTTGTAAATCAGCTATTGATTAAATCTGGGATAGCGGTGACCCTGGAAAACCGGATTCTTTCAAAGTGATGACAGTTTTGGCTCATGTAACCATGGCTAATCTTTCAAGGGCTAATCTTTTAGATTTAAAACAGCTAGATTATATTAATTGAGGTAAACATATTTCTTAATTGCTTCTCTTTAAAATTTTAAGTAATTATTACTTGCATAACCATCTTATTGCATAACTTTCTTCTCACTGCCTATATAATACTTTGGCATTAATATGAAATCAAGTGCATTAAATTAATTATTGATCTGCTATGTCAGCTTAACGCTATTATGGTTATTCCTCTTCCAACATGCTATTCTTACTGAATAAAATTAGGTGACAATTAGGACTCTGTGCCATGTGTTCTCAATGTGACCATGTTGCACATACAAGAGAGACAATATTTCTTTCAAAGTAGAGCAAGTATGTTACATGGAAAACCAGTAAGAGAGCGCTAAAAAATAATAAATCAAGAATTATTTATGTTGTAATCAAAAAGCTATAAAATGATTATAGTTAAAAAGCAGCTCAACCCATGAAAAATGTTCCCGAAGTTTAAAAAGTGAAAAGATCACCAGAAAAGTGCAAGCGCTTAGCGAATCATCCACTGATATAGATGATCATTGATGTTCACCAAATATATACATACAGTCAAGTCATAGATTATTATTATTATTATGGTATTTATATAGAGCCATCAAATTCTGCAGCGCTTTACAATGGGTGGACGAACAGACATGTAGTTGTAACCAGACAAGTTGGACACACAGGAACAGAGGGTTTGAGGGCCCTGCTCAATAAGCTTACATGCTAGAGGGAGTGGGGTAAAATGACACAAAAGGTAAGGATAGTATTAGACTAGTGACAGTTGCAGAAGAGGAATCAATCAGGAGCTATTAACAGTTTAATTTATACGCTTTTATGAAGAAGTGGGTTTTTAATGATTTTTGAAGGAGTGGAGACTGGGTGAGCATCTAACGGAGGAGGGAAGCGAGTTCCACAGGAACGGTGCAGCCCTCGAGAAATCTTGAAGGCGAGCATCAGAGGTGGGAGTACGGACAGAAGATAGGCGTAAGTCTTCAGCAGATCGTAAGGGCCTAGACGGGACATACTTGTGTATAAGGGAGGATAGATAGGTGGGAGCAGCATTATGTAGCGATTTGAAAGCAAGAGCCAGAATTTTAAATTGAGCTCTATATTTTATAGGAAGCCAATGTAGGGACTGACAGAAGGGTGAGGCATGGGAGGTGCGGGCGGACAGGAAGATGAGCCTCGCTGCCGCATTCATTATGGACTGTAACGGCGCAAGTTGGGAGCACGTAAGGCCACTGAAAAGTTAAATTAAAAAAAATGAAATTAAGATTTTAATCTACAACTTGACTGTATGTATTTATTTGGTGAACATCACTGATCATCTATAGCAGTGGATTATTCGCTAAGTGCTTGCACTTTTCTGGAGATGTTGAATGGACACAATAAGCACCCAGACTACTTCGAAACAATGAAGTGATCTTGGTGCAGTTTCCTTGCCACTTGCTCCTGTTGTGTAAAGCATTATGTCAGAGATATGGCAATAGGAGAACGGATGAATGCTGATCGGAATAGGTCAGGGTGCCAAGCCTGGAACCAGTCCTATGGTGTCTGCTACAATTATGTCTTCCCCCCGTTGGTAGACTAAAAAGGCACCAGATCTCAAATCCGTCTGTATCCATGTTAGTCGGAAAACGAGCCACAAAATATCATCCACTCCTACAGTCTTTAGAAAGCAACCACCAAGCACAGCTCCACTCACCACCATCTCAGTTCCTCCTGGAGGCAATAAAGGTGCAGCAGTGGCACTAGAGCAAGGTGCTATCCACAGTGGTTACTGGAACCACACAGCCACTAGGATGAGATGACATGATTGCAGAGTTCCACTAAGCAGCTATTGAAAGATGGGGAAGCTTCCGTTACAAAAACTCTATCTACTTATGCAGATAGTCTGTAGATTATCTGTAGATATGTAAAAAAAAAAAAAGAAATACTATTTGAAAATCTAATTTTAGGTAAGCCTAAACAATTGATAACATTCCAACTTATATTCAGTTTTTTTTTTTTTTTTTACATATCTACAGATAATACTTGTTGTTATACTTATTGTGATTTTCTGGTACAAATCGATATAAGAAATGGTTGCATTTGACTTGTGCTATTAATACATAATAAAACATAATATTTAAAATCTAAAAAGACTCATATTTATTTATAGTTCAAATATGTCAACAGAGGATTGTACATTCTATACAGGGTGGGCCAAAATACAGAGTAGTATTTGACAGGTAAATAACTGTTAGTAGTTAAAAAATTTTGTTGCAGGTGCATATTATATCTCAGTCTTGTGAGATTCATCATGGGTAATTTCACAAAGGAACAAGTAAAAGAGTGGAATTGTATTTCCAAAACTGAGACAACTTTCAGCAAGTGAATAATTTCAAGAAATTCCTTGATTAATTGGCCGACATATTTGCCTGACATTTCAACTCCCAATTACCTCCTGTGGGGATATAAAGGAGCAGGTGTACATGAATACATGTAATTGTCTCATTTATTGTAAATTCCCCGTCCCCTACCCTTCATAATATTGTAAAGCGCTGTGGAATTAGTTGGCGCTATATAAATACCAATAATAATAATAATAATGAATAAACCTCCTACACTGATCAAGGAGAATTTCCATGCAGAAATGTGAGCGCTCTAGCCTCAAACATTAACTAATGTTATAGACAAAAGGATGGGGCGGAAGATCCGCTCACAACGAGTGAGTGGAAATGCCAACCCATAGGAAAATACCTCCTTAATATCAAACATCACATAAAAATAAAAAATCTTTATTGAATACAGAAAATATATTAAATATACCAAGAAAAACGTGAATGGTGAAGTACCAACACCAATTAAAAACCTGGGTGTACTCTGACTCAAAGTAGTTAGGTAATTAGTATTATAGAGGAAATATAATAAAGTATAATAGTCTATGAAAAACCAAAATAGGAATTCCTCAATAAACTGAATGGATATTGAATGTCACCACGGTCCACTAGTATACTTGAAAATTATATAGAAAGAAAAAATGCTGTAATAATCACAGAAAAGATAGGGAGATATACTAGGAAGTACAGATAGGGTGTCTGGGCTAGATACAGAGACTTGCCAGTAGGGTAATTAATAAAGAAAAAAAAAGAAAATAACAAAATAAAATTATAGAAAAGGTGGTATACGTTTCCTTAGTTAAATCTTTGAAAAAAGAGAAGGATTGCCGTAGCCTCTGTGGGACTCAACATGAAATGGGTCTCCACAATAATGAGAGCCAAAAAAGGTAATAATAATATGCTCAACCAGGAAAACGGCATAAAATCTAAATGCCAAAGAGGGAACTTCCCTGCCACAACAAAATCCTATCAAACCCTATGCTAAACTGTCTAGCCCGGACACAACCTTCTATCTGCTGCTTCGTGGCAGCCTAGCATAGTCCCTGAACAGCTAGTAGATGAAAATAAATCAAGTAGAAAAAAGACAGCGTGGGAACCCAGGTAAATACATGAGAAAATAAAATAAAATCACAGCATCGGCTGATCACAGCTCGACGCGCGTTTCGGCGTGTAAGGTACGCCTTTGTCAAGAGCAAACTGACATGTTCAAAAAGGGCCGCTTATAAAGGGGGGGTAGTACACACCCCTCAGAGAGAGTCCTCCAATCAGAAACCCTAGACCTGAACGATTGACTTAGTACCCCTCCCCCCCCCCCGAATGTCCCGGCCAATCAAGAGAGAGGGGCGTGGATAAGCCCAGGGTGATTAGCTATCCGAGAATGAAAACGTAGAACGGGGAGGAATCTACTTGGATTTAATCACAAAGTGAATAGTAAATGATAAAAACGAAAAGGAAAAAGGAATCAAAAGTAAAATGGTTATAATAATAAAAGTATGACTCAAGAAATATAAAGCATTAAATAGATAAATAGAAAGTTAATTAGAACCATAGTGTCAATATTATGGGGAAACAGTACGATCATAAGTTAGAGTGTTGAAATAACATTGTAACCAGCGGAGTGGTACAAAATGATTACATTGTATACATTAGACCTCAAGAAAGAGGAGGTTTATATGATGATAAAGGAAAGTTTCCATATTATTCCTCCGACCGTAGGAATCTAAAATAGTTGCTGTAGCAGGTATATAAAATAAATTAAACATAAACAGTTGCCTCATAATTATTCATTTCACCTTTTATTGGTTTGAATCATAGTTATAGTTAACTCATAATATCTGAGTAAACCCTAACGATATCACATGGGGAAAGTTCATGAATAATAGGTGCAATCACCAAAATGAATAGATCCCGAGTCACTATGATACTATAAACAAATTATTAATAATAGAAAGAAATAGTATAAATAAGTAAATAGAGAGGAGAACTCACAATACAAAATGGTCCCTAGATGAACATGCCTCAATAAAGATTATCAATTAATCATAAATGTGTACTAAAGTGATCACTATTATGAAAATAATGCTGGTCAAGAAGCTAAAGAAAATAATGGTGAATATAAAGACGACAAAAAATGATAAATAATAAATGGTATGAAAACAAAAATAGACAATTCAATAGAGAAAAAAAAGCCAGAGTTTGTGAGGTGGCAAAAGGAGCTCATCTAAAATGTATCATCCTCTGTACCTAGTCAAACAAATCTTTATATGTTAAGCATTGATTAAATGTAATATTATTGGAATTTGTTAATTAAAGGGACACTCCACTGC